AGTCAAAATTCGGCTCAAAATTATAGAAATTGAGCTGTAGGCATTTTTAGCTTCCTCAGCCTCTCCTACAACTATTTCATCGCCTAAGAACCCCCGACAACCGTACTTTTCCCCATTCCGGGCATGTTTGTGACCGCCGTTTCCTCATAAAGTCAGTATTTTATTTTTCTTTATCGGCCGTTTTCCCAAAACGCGACTTTTCTCTATACTTTTTTGAATAACTAATAACTCTATCATTTTTCTTCCAATCTTCATGAAATTTTCACAGAATGAAGAGAAGATGTAATACTAAATATTTGTCTGTTGAATTTTTGATATTTGGAATAAGTTTTTGTTGGTGGTGTCTGGAGTGTAGATTTTCTCGGATTTTTTGCAAACTTGAATGCTACGTCAGGAAAAAATTCATTAAAAATTTTCTTATTCGTTTAGGAAAAAAACAGCAGACAAATTTTTATATCTAATGTTTGTGAACACGCATGCAAAAAAAACAAACAACCAATTTCCATGAGCGATAAATGCGGTATTCATTACGTAAGACATGTCAACAAAATCTAATATGGCCACCGTATCCATGGAAACAAAACTTTTTCTCAAATTTGATTGCCGATATTGAGACTCCTTACTATGCTTGTTATAATAGTTATATGTGTGAAATTTGGTAAAATTCGGTCCAGTAATAAGCGAGATAGCCTTCAGGTGTAGCCACCCCCTAATGAAAATAATACTGAAATTCTTTTATGTAACCCGAAGAAAAACCATATCCCCATAGACGTCTAGATCTAGATGTTGATAACGTTTGCATGATGTGTAAGCGTGTGCGTGTTATAAGCAAGTAGGTGTGTGCGTGTATGCATTTGTGAATATTGTTCATACTTTCATACATGCATTTATGTAGATTCTAAAGCACCTAGAGTAGAGCTGTGTTTGTGGACACTGCTATAGAAATGATCAGCATTACATGTATTATTATTATCATTATTATTGTTATTATTATTATTACTACAGCCGTAGAAACTTTCTTTACAATAAAAACGAGACCAGAAAGGATGGTGCAACACACTGCTACGTTTATCACTGTACTAACCAGAGCCTCCAAAGGAACCCCTCTTTCATTTCTTCATTGATAAGAATTTTTGACAGGTTAGATCCAGATCTTTGTTTTGAAGAAAATATTCGAAAAGATTAAGAACCTGGTCTTATCAAAGCCTATCTTTCAGTTACAATTGATATCAGATCTAACCACTGCAATTTTACCTCGTCTTTGTGTTTCAATTACTTACTTAAAAACATCACAAAATCCAAGTTAGATCTACTAATCTGAGGTAGCCTACTAATTTCACACACCTGACAATGACTCACTGACTTATTAAGACAAGATATATATTAATCATAGTATTATATCAGTATCATCAATCATACTTATTTTTATGGGATGATGTTGGATGGGAGCAGCCAAAGATAGGCTCGTGTCTAAAATGTTTGATGTAATGTATCTACTTGTGGTGGCCGAATTTTGCTATGCAAAAGGTTTTTTAATGGCTGCATCCATCGACATGCGGTTTTTGCCAAAAGATTCTTTACAGGGTGTCCAGCAAAGTCGTAAAAAAGTCGTAAATTCGGCGCCCTGGTCGTAAAGGTCGTAAATGGTAGTAAATTTGCCTTGAAGGTAGTAAAAATTTGGTAAACGGTCGTAAATTAGCCTGCATAATTGAGTGATGAAGCCAACAAGACTCTTCAGTGAACCCGAGCCGCGGTACATGACTCCGTTTTTGCAGGTCGCGATTGTGATATAATATTCGTTCACCTTTTCCCCGTCCGAGAGTACGTTTCACACGAAAAACCGGCTATGGCGGCAGGTGGAAGTGTATGTGACACCGAGGCTCGATCGGGAAAAATCAAGATCTACTTTCGCTTTCGTTACCACCCTGGAATTTGGCGAAGATAAACTGATAGCGCAACATAATTGTAATATGCAGGTTGTACAGCATAAAAACGCTGTGTCGCCGTGCAAGTAAAATTTAATCATTACTCGGACTCGTCACCGTGCTGTTACTTGTGTGTGTGTGTGGGGGGGTGAAAAGAAAATACAAGCTTCGTCTGATTTTTAGATTGTCGGGTTCGCCAACGTGACAAGTCAGTGAACCTTCGCGCGAGGCACCACAATGTACGGCATAGGTGAGCACCGGCGTTTGTTGGGGTCGCCAAAGTTTATTAAAAAGTCTGAGCGTTGCGAATTATAGGACTACGGAGTAGGGCAGGGATTGTTGGTTTTTTAAAAAAAGAGGTACACTCGGGGGAAGGGGGGAGCGGCTGAAGGCAACACCAGAGGACAAAAACTTGTAAACAAATTTCAGAATTTAGATTAGATTTAGTAGAGCCCTCTGCAAAGAGCGCGTTGGTGCAGGCCTTGTGTGGAATCGAGATCCCTCATACCTCGTAACCCGTGTTATTGAAATAAAGTGTTCGCATTTCATTTGTTGGGTGATAATAAATTAGAACGATATTGTTTTGTAGCTTTCTGTTCAAGACTGGCATATTTTCAGTGTCACTGCCTCTTGCCCTCTCACAGTTCTTACACCTCTCACACTGAATAG